CTGCAACATAAACGATTCTTAGGTGATAAGGCTGAAAAGAGGCTTGAATTATCCTTTCGAGGGGCTGTACCTCCTCAGCGACAGTAGCCAGGGCAAAACAATGCAAAGAACTATGAAGCACAGACCACTTAGAACTGGCTCACCACTTTTGGCGAGCTAGGAAATTACTGGTGTGATGGATGGTCAAACCTTGAAGTGATTGGCCTGAGTGGGTGGGTTAAGAGAGATTAACGCAATCACAGGTCTGTTCTTTATTCATTTCAAAGTAAAAGTCTGTTTCTGTGTATATTTTATTTTTAGATGGTCAGTATGAGAAATAGTGGTGGGTAATTTTTTCCAGGTTTCATACCAGAATATGAATCCAATTAATACCAAAACACATTCCCTTTCATTTTCATGGTAGTATTTTAACTGTTAAAAAAAAGTGGTTCCACAACCTGATATTATGTATAAAAAAGAATAGTTCAAATGCAATGAAATTTCTGTCAATTTTCCAATACATCAGACTGAATGTGACAGAATTTTTCTTCCACATTGTAATAATAATTTTCATTTTTTTAACCCATCTTGAAATTTTATACCTGGATCTTCATGTATTCTGTAAACTTACTAAATATGTTATCAGATTTTAGAGACCAATGACTTTTCTACTCAGAATACATACCTTATACTAAATTAGAATGCCAGAGTGAATTTGGGCTTTTTCCATAATCTCTGGATCATGCTACTACCTTATCTGTCAAGACAAAGTGACTGCCATGATAGGATTTAAGTAATTTTAATCTTTGATCCAGTTATTAGTTTGTTCTCATGCTTTTTCATATATCTGCATTGACTTTTATATTTCTGTTACTTGCTTTGTGTTTGTCTGAACCTTTTATTATCCCTACTTGTATGAGTATTAGCTATTATCATTATTTTGATTCATATATATCAGATCAGATTTTTTTTTTTTTTTTTTTTTTTTTTTTTTTTTTTTTTTTTTTTTTTTTTTTTTTTTTTGATTAACTGTTTACTTTTTAGTTGTATGATAGTGGAATAAATGAGACTTTTGTATAATATTTAGTGTGTTAGAATTGCATATATCATTGAGGGAAATTTCAATAAAAATATTATATACAAATATTTTTTCTTATGTTAATATGATTATTTGTCCACATCATAGAATTTTTTTTTTTTTTTTTTTATAATGAATCATCACCATCATCATTATTTTCCATTTTCTTCTTTACAGAATCTGGGTTTCAGTGTATTTGGTTCAGAGGTATTATTTAGAGGTATTGTTGCAATTTACTATAAGCTTTTGCTTCCCTCTTGTTTCTGTATTTCTGTCACCCAATTCCAATTCCCTTGAAATCGCATCGTTTATCTCTATGAAAAGGTGCGAGTAGCGGAGGACCGGGACTTTGAGCGGCTGAAGCAACTGTGTGACTGTCATGATGGCTGGTCCTTGGCCTACAACCATCCTCCAACCAAAGTGTGGACCAGGCCAACCAAAAATTCAACTTTTCAAATGATCAAGGTAACTTTCTCTTGCTTCTCTTAGGAAACTCTTGCAGTGTTATAATACATGTGTATTATCTGCAGTGGATGAGTATTTCTAATTGGTCTTGCCATTCTGTAAATTGAGAATTACATTATAATTTTATCTTTAGCTATACAAAATGAAATATTTATAGTATGTATTTTCTGAACCCATTCACGCTGGGTGTCATGTATACGTGACATGCCCACAGTTAGTTTACTTGTTTAATTGTTTTGACACATAGATGGCTACAATTATACTTGTACTGCCTGTCTCGCCCATAAACCCTTTTCTTTAACGAAAATATTTTACGTTATCTTATTTTGCTGTTACTAATGTAACTAATGTTACTAATGTAATTATAATGTTTATAATAAAAATAACCATCGATATTCATAGCACTTGTAAAAAATTCATTTTCCTGCCAAATGAAATCAGGTAAGGCAGAGCCATCTATGTGTAAAGACATTTCACAAAAAGTATAAAAAATGAGCATAGCATTTTCCCCATTTTTTTTTATTTTTACCCAGCTCGAATGGGTTAAGTAGGAATTGTAGTATCAAATGAAATAAGAATGTTATTTATTTAGAAAGGGATGGTAAGGACCATCCAGCAGCTTAATATACATGTTCCTCTACTTTCTTGGCCCCTATGTCCTCTTGGATATAAGAGTAACTTTAAAAGTAGAACATTAGGTTTGATAAATGAAATTTGTAAATTTCCAATTGAACAGGTTTGCACTGTGTACACTGATATTGATGCAAATGTGTTGTATGATGTCCTCCACGACCCACATTATCGCCAGATGTGGGACAAACACATGATCAAGTCTGTTGATGTAGGCTACCTGAACCCAAATAATGATGTCTCATACTATGCAAGTGAGTGCATAGTATCTTTATTTCTCTGTTTGTTATTTGTTACTTTTAATTTTCTTTGGACATTGAGTGGTTATGGGACAGAATTGAGTGTTAA